GTAAAATCTTGAATTGATGTCGTCCTTTTTGTTATAATTCATAAAATCTTGGGTTCTTTAATTTTGAGCAACGAGATGCCAAAACCTGGGACTTTTAATGCCCCTATTTGGCAACCATTTTTTGGGGTTGAAAATTTGTAGAATAATGATTGATAGGAAAATGTGTGGTGGAAAAGTTTTAGATTTGTCTGTAATATTATTTTATTTGAGAATGTGAAGTTGAGATGAAGATAGAAAAAAATTAATGTAATGGAATGAGAAAAAATAGGGCTCAAACGGGGGCTAATTTTGAACAATACGATAAAAATCATATCATGTTCAAATGCACGCTCTTATTATAACAAGTGAAAAATATAATGTAAATTTGAATCGACATGTCACAAATCAAGTGGAGCTTGACCACAAAATAAGTTAGAATGAGAAAAGCTTGAGCAAACTTTTGCGAAAGCAAATTGTACGGGCTTGTAGGCCCACTCCGAAATGTGCCTAGATATATGTTGTAGGTTAGAAGTGGGTTGTCGACCTTGCAGCTCGTTACAGGCAGATTCACCTAGCTGATTTGTTAATTTTTTTTTTAAAGGTTCGGGTGGTCACGGGTCGGTTCGGGCTTTTTTCGGGTTGAGCCACAGACTATTCGAGCCGGCAAGCCAAATTGAAACCCTTATACCAAACAAGTACTTAATTTTCATATATCATTAAACTTCAGTTTGATTTCAAACTTTACCATTATCTCACACATCGTTAGGGATGTCAACGGGGTGGGGCGTCCCTACCTCGCCCCGCCCCGCCCCGCCCCGCCCCGCTCCGCCACTTTCATTCTTTGCCCTGCCCCGCCCCACCTTAGACGGGGCAGGGCGCGCGACAGGACCGTTTTCCTGCCCTATTTATTTTTTTTGTAATTTTGCTTTGCCCTAAAAAATTTTCAATTATACGGTTAAGGAAAAAAATAACTCTACTTCCAAAAAACATTTGTTCATCAAATTTAAGAACATTAATCTATAACTTTACTTCCAAAAAACATTTGGTCATCATGTATTCTAGTAGAGAACACATTGATATTTTTTTTTAATGGTTCACGGGGCGGGTTCGGGGCGGGGCATCTCCACCTCGCTCCGCCCTGCCCTGCCCTGAGACTCGAGACAGAGCACACCTCCTTGCCCCGCCCCGCCCCGCCCCGCCACGCCAACCTGTTCGGGGCGATTTTTTTCTTCCCATTCGGGGCGGGGCGGTTTTTTTTGCCATCTCTACACATCGTCACCAAAATTGATAAAAATTGTTAATTGACAATCTTTTATTGTAGTGAATATTTCACATAGTTATTGTACGATATGCCAACTTATCACTCTGACACACATAAAGTGTTAAACAAAATGATACGTATCATAACACTTTAATCTAAGGAACCAATGTAGAAATAAATTACGATCAGTTGTGATTTGGCTACAAAGTAAGAAACTTTCGTAATGTGATAGAGGGTGAATTTTGAAATTACTTTTAAAAATTAAAGTTTTGTAATTCAATTGAAATAAATTAAGGGTGTGTTTGAGCCACATTATTTTGGAAGAACGTATTTTGAAATAGTAGATTGATGAAGAATATGTGGTTGAGAAAGAAGTAAAAATTATTGATGTGATAGAAAATATTATTTTATTGAAAAATGTGTGATTGAAAATGAGTAAAATAATGATAATGAAAATTTTAATGTGGCTCAAATAGGGACTAAAAGTTAAATAATCCAATTGAGATTGCGCTAAAAGTTTAAGGGTAGTTCTCTTCGTGTTTCAGTTTTGTATTTTGAGTTTTGAATTCGTTTTATGTTTTGTGTTTTGAGTGTCTATTTTGAAATTTCTGAAAATGCGTTCTTTTTGTTATTTTGAAAAACTGTTTCCGAAAACATAAAAATGGAAAACGCGTTTACTTTGAAATTTTGAGAATTTTTTTTTAAAATAATATTTTATTCAAGAAATCTGATTATTCAATAAATTTTAATAGTTTAATGTTAATATAATATTAAATGTCTACTCCATAAACACACAAATGTCTTGTGTATAATTGATCCTAGCAATAATTTTTAATCGTAATATTCAGAATGTTGAAATTTTAATTTTGACGATCTGTTTCAAAAATTAAGGAGGTGTATTTGAGCTGTGATTTATGGGATTTGACGAGGTGGAGAATGAAGAGGAAGCACGTGGTGGTGGGACCTTATTCATGTTTATAACAGTGAAGTTGAAACACATCACAAAGGCATCTTCATCTACGCCCCCGATTGAACCTCTTTAAAATTTTCATTATCTTTTTCTACTCATTTTCAATCATATATTTTTTAATAAAATAATATTTTCAATCACATCAGTAACTTTTTCTTCTTTTTCAACCACACATTCTCCATCAATCTATTATTTCAAAATACGTTCATTCAAAATAATGTGTCAATTTTTCTTCTTTTCTAACAAACATAATCCGTAAAATCTTGAATCTTGAATTGATGGCGTCCTTTTTGTTATAATTCATAAAATCTTGGGTTCTTTAATTTTGAGCAACGAGATGCCAAAACCTGGGACTTTTTATGCCCCTGTTTGGCCCCCTTTTTTGGGGTTGAAAATTTGTAGAATAGTGATTGATTGGAAAATGTGTGGTGAAAAAGTTTTAGATTTGTGTGTAATATTATTTTATTTGAGAATGTGAGGTTGAGATGAAGATAGAGAAAAAATTAATGTAATGGAATGAGAAAAAATAGGGCTCAAACGGGGGCTAATTTTGAACAATAAGATAAAAATCAGAACATGTTTTAATGCACACTCTTGTAACAAGTGAAAATATAATGTAAATTTGAATCGACATGTCACAAATCAAGTGGAGCTTGACCACGAAATAAGTTAGAATGAGAAAAGCTTGAGCAAACTTTTACGAAAGCAAATTGTACGGGCTTGTAGGCCCACTCCGAAATGTGCCTAGATATATGTTGTAGGCTAGAAGTGGGCTGTCGACCTTACAGCTCGTACAGGCAGATTCACCTAGCTGATTTGTTAATTTTTTTTTTTAAAGGTTTGGGTGGTCACAGGTCGGTTCGAGCTTTTTTCGAGTTGAGCCACAGACTATTCGAGCCGGTAAGCCAAATTGACACTCTTATACCAAACAAGTACTTAATTTTCTTATATCATTAAACTTCAATTTGATTTCAAACTTTACCATTATCTCACACATCGTTAGGGATGTCAACGGGGCGGGGCACCCCTACCTCGCCACTTTCACGCTTTGCCCTGCCCCGCCCCACCTTAGACGGGGCAGGGCGCGCGACAGGACCGTTTTCCTGTCCCATTTATTTTTTTTTGTAATTTTTTCTTTGCCCTAAAAAATTTTCAATTATAC